TTTAATCCATTTTATCTTGTAATTTGTATATTAAAAAATTATAGAAATTATATATTAATAATCTATATGTTAAGACAAATCAAACAAGATCACACATGACTATATTTAGGCTTACACATTGAGAGAATTTGATGAGTCAAAGTGCTTAGATGAACAGTTCCAAAAGTCAAAACTGGACGAATACTCCAGGACGGAGGGATATTTGTGTAAAATGTTTGATCTTTCACTTTCTTTCCAATCAAATATCTTGTAAAATTTATATATTTAAAATCTGCATCAAAGGTTTGACAAAACTATGGTGGCTAGACACACTATTATTTTATAAAATTAGTAATGAAAAAAGGGAAAGAAAAAGGTCAAAATTTTACCATGCGAAAAAGTGAGCAAGACTTTTTTTTTGGAACGGATGGAGGATTTTTTTTCCCCATTCCCTCCCTTCCAGACTCCCTTGTCCAAAAAAAAGGGTTAATGCAACGTTGATACCTGGAGATGAAGGTTCACCTCATCAGGCCGTGAAAGGAATGGAAAATCACCACCGGTCTTTAAGTAAGCTTGTCTGGCACCAGGGTACCTTTCTCTAACTTGATCTTTGAGTGGTTGTGGGGTTGCACAGTAATCATTTGTCTTCAACAAGCAGGGAAAAACATCCAATAAAAAACAGGGAAAAATTAGTAATTAATCAACAACAACAGTAACAGCATGAAAGAAATTTTACTGACTTGGCTTCGTCCAAATCGCACCAGTAAATGGAGATTGGGGTAATAGGGAAAGGGGCATAATCGAAAGGATAACCTCCAAAAACCATGATTCAGAGGTTCTCCAAAATTGGATTTTCGAAGGTGAACCCAGGTTGTCCAAAAACATGGGTTCTTGTCATCAAAATGCTTCTAAAAACAAGGTGAACCCAGAGGCACACACACCATTAGAGTACATTTCACCTTGTTTTACCAGTGAAAATTGTTTTCTTAGAAATAAGTTCTATGGATAATAATATAATATGTGGGGGGGGGGGGGG